GATCCAGAGAGAATGATAAACCCATAGCAATTAACGGTGCTTTATTAATATCCTACACCAAACAGGGGAAATCCACAGGTCAAGGGACAGACTAATATTTCAGGGGGTGGTAGATAGGCTGCATGCAGTCGCGGGACCTAGGCTGCACTCTCTTTTGGGACGTTGGTGTTAGGGTCAGTACTAAATGTTTTGGGGTCGTTAAAAGCATCAGAAAGCCGGGAAACCCAGTCTTACTACCCTCTAAAATTTTGGACTTCCCTGTGACGTCATCTGGGGTATAATGTTAATGAAGAACCCAATTAACTACACCAAATAGTCTAAGACAGTGTAGGCCGCGCAATAGCCCAGGAGCTGCCACAAATGTCTGCCTAATCATTTAACAGGATAGGGTAGGTCCAGGATTGGGGTGAGAAGGGTTAACACATCACTGATGAGAATCCAACAGGTACAAGTCATTTTACACATAGTAAGTCACCATTTAAAGACGTTAGCTGAAGACTCGAATTGTCACGAAACAGAAAAGCTGATCGAGTTATTTTTGATGTCAGTCTTGTGTCCGCACATGAAATAAAAACATTGTCTGAGTTTTGGATATCACTTGAAAAAGAATGTATATTTCTTAGTTTTCTTTGTTTGTTGTTTTTGTCATATTTGCGTTAAGTTCCGATACTAATGGTGTCAGTAGCATTATGATTAAACGTCCGTCTTGCCTTTCCTCTGAGCCTCGAGCATCTGCCAGAACCTCTCGTCACTCCCCGCTGAATCAGTCACACCAGACTGTGGTGATCCATCTGCTCATGGTTTAAAAGAAAATAAACATCTTTGATTTAATAAGATTTAACTAAAGGAATATATCCCTGTAGGGATACGAGGTTCCGTTTTAGGAGGATAAAGAATAGAGCCACTGACCTCCTTACAAGCAGATCGCAAGAAGTGACTAATTAGGTAGGGATGTGTCTTTCGAAGACGGAGTGCATTTGCATTTTGAGGGACGAACAGTCGGCATAAAAAAAAAGCCAAATTTCTAAAACAAATGTGAACGCACAAATCAAGTTCTAGAAGAAAACCAAAATTCAGAAGTGGATGAACAACCAAACTATCCGCCGGAGTTTGCAGTCAGTGAAGGCTAAGAAGAAGAAGTGTTGATCAAAACAAACGGTACAGATATTTCTAATACTGTGATAATCACAATCTTTACAAATAATTCGTCACCTGTGGCAAACACATGAATGAGAATGCATAGTCTGCAAAACCGATAGATGACGCTCCAAAACATTATAGTCTTTATAATCTATATCCGTTAGAGAGAAAATGTTTTTATTTAGTTCGATATGCGTTATGCAGCTTGGTTGTAATAAAAGGTGAGAGACACGTCGAATACAACAGTAGGATTATAAATAATGATTGTACCATGTGCTTGGCATGACAGTTTAATTATACCATAAAGTTTTACTTAGAAAAAAGAAAAAAAGCATTAGCGATTTATGTACATTGGTATTTTGGTTTTAAATTAATAATGTTAGTTGCGTATCCTTTACAAGACTTTGCAGAACCAACCCCAACAGCCCCTGGCTGTTGTGTGAATTTTCTAGACAAATTTCCGTCCAGTAGTTTGCCATTTCTTTCTGGACAGTCGGCTTTCTTGATACCACTGTCGAAACCAACGCAAAGCGCATGTCCCGCAGCTGGGATCGAACCTATAAATCTAAACTATTGAAAAAAGATGTAAAAGTTAAAGGCTAGAGGATCTACAACAGGTTTTATCCCAAAAAACACAGGGCCTCTCCACAGAGCGGTCTGATGCCCGCTAAAAGCATAAGACAAAGCACGAGCTCCGTCGCTCCGGCCACGATCCCAATGGATCTTCGTAGTACTGCATATGGCTGAAATCACGATTCAGGAGAGTAGTCTGATAGTGACAACCGTTAAACACCTTGGCTTATTTTTAACTTTACATTTTTAAACACTTTACTAACAGGGGTATTTTTTTAAATACAATATTGTCTTGTTGAGTTGAGTTGAGAATTGACATCACAGCACTCAGGGCATTTCCATAAGCGTTCCGTTCCCATCCTCAACAGCCAGCGCAAAGTTCCAATACTAATGATGCCGGTCTTAGTCTAGTAGTTTGTTTGTCTTGCCTTTCCTCTGCGTAGTTTGCAGGCAGAACCTCCTGGTCACACCCAGGCTCATCTTCCTCTCCATAATAATCTTGTTTCTCTTCTGACTTCGTTAATGTTTTCTATTATCCCGATATCAGTTTCACATAAGCATATTTTCCCGAAATTTGACAAAAGCATATATCCTTTGTAATTTCATTGACATCCCCAGAGAACTGTGTGGCAAGGTCAGTCAATTTATCACAAGAACTAAAACCAATACATAGAAGGGTAAGGAATGCCTGTGCCATGTTTGAAAAAATGTATCTTAAAAGATAAAAAATCAATGAGGATAATAAATTTTATACTAAGGGCCCACTAAATCCACCATGTTAATATGTTAGTAAGAATAGGAAAAAAAAATAGTAATAGTTGCAGTTTAAAATTAGGTTCATTTTAATGACAAATTGTTAGTAAGATGGATTATTAACAGTACAATTTATTTCATAATCGCTACCCAAAGAAAGCAATATTTCTATGTGTATGCTATGATGTCGATTCTTAAATCACTATTTTGTAACTTCTTTACTAGCTTCTGTAATGTTATTTTTGGGTTCTACTTGTTTTAGAATAAAACCAGAAGAGATCGAGTGAGAAACGATGTGATTACAAGAACTATTGGAACCATACCCATCGTTAAATTTATTGAGAAGCAAAGAATGAAGGAAATGGTTTGGTCACCTAATGAGAATTCCAGCAATTTGAAAATCGAAAACAACAAGAGGCAGGGGAAGACCAAGAAGAAGATGGATTGAAGGAGTCACTTGAGACTTCATAACATCACGGCATATGAAGCGACTTTCGGGCCGATCATCTGATAGACTGCGACGCCTAGCGGCACAAGCAGATTTTGACAAAAGAAGAAGAAGACTTGTTTTAGATTTGCTATTGTTTATTTATATTGTTGTGCTTTTCCTTTATTCTACTTTGCTAAGGATTTCGGGCTTCAGTCACACCGTGTTTTTCATACCTTTATTGCGGAGATGGCTCATGTGTTAATTGATTGATCGGGGCCGTCAGTAGGGACTGCCGACAGTCACTGATACAGTAATCGTCACGTGACGGGGTCTCTCTTTCCGGGAATTTCAATGTCGTAAGAATTTCTCTTATTCCGTCAGACGAGATAGGAGACGACAGAGAACCTTCTTTCTGACTGTTCGGGTTTTGTTATATTACAAACCCCAGGCAGTGTACTGTGATCACACATTAGGTAAGGTTATTGTTTTAGTTTTATTATAATATAATAACTGAATCAGTGAATATTGACAGTTGAACTCAATTTTCAGACAACCATCAACCAGTAACCAGCAGTGGGGACGGTAAATCATCATCATCATGAATGACTCGATCACAAGTCATTGATTCATTCATTTCAGTGTTGTAACTTGTGCTAGAAATATATTTTAAGTAACAACAGTCATGCTGTGTTGTATACTGAAACTACATTGATAGTGTTATATATAGCGGATAGGTAGAGCAGCAGTATTGTTTTATAAAAATTGTAGTTATAGTACACACATCATCATCATCATTCATGACATTAGATAGGTAAAGAAAAGCAGTTTCAGATACATACTATTACTATTACTAAATTGTTGGCACTTCTCCGAATAACGGCCCCAAATTATCTAGCTCAAAATTCTACCCTGAATATTTTTTTAAAGTGCATGTTTTACTTTTGTTACTCCTTTTCCTCCTTCGTTATGGTAATCATCATTATCATCATCATTATGTTGTTGCTTTTGTTGTTGTTGTTCTTTTTCTTCTTTGTCTTCTTTTTCATCTTCTTCTTCTTTTTCTTCTTCTTCCTCTTCTTCTTCTTCTTCTTCTTCTTCTTTTTCACTAATACTACCTCCTTATCTCTTTTGCCACTGCTCCTTGCAAAAGGATTGGTCAACAAACGTTTTAAAAGTAAACATCTTACCTAGATAATTTGGGGCTGTTATCGGAGGAGTGCCAAAATGTTTAGTACAATCAGACAAGTCCCACCCACAGAACTTAGCTGAAAATAAAAAGATGTTTTCTAATGGTACTTTTCGCTATCCCCCGAATAATAAATGGGTACATAGTACATATTGTAGTGGCCAAAAACACACCCTAACAGGGCCTTAGTCACATGCAAATTGCGGACTTCCGGTGACTTGAATTGCGGACTTCCGGCAACTACCGCCACCACCAAGAGAATGCCGCTACAAGCGGTGTAGAGCAGGGCTTAACTAGATGACTGGGACTCACTAGCAGCAGCTTCCACATCTCCTGCAGCTTGCTTCATTTTATTTGCTCATGAGTCCCAGCTATCTAGTTTAGCCCCCACGGCGCGCTTAGCGGTACTCTCCTGAAGTCCGCAATTTACATGTGACTGCTGAGGCCCTGTTAGGGCGTGTTTTTGGCCGCCATAATATGTGCCCGTTATTCAGAGGATAGCCTTACTTTCAATTGTCATTTGATAATGCTTTATGCACAACCTAAATAAGGAATAAAAGAATTTCATTAAATCATCTTGTAAAAAATAATTAGTAAATGCATGCTTAGTTGTTTAATATATTCAAGTGCTAATTAGTGATGTGAGGCTAGAACTGTCTGTTAATTAACCCTCAGAGTGTGAAGACAAGTCTTTTACTTACTAAAATAAATACATTTTTCAAGTGTGTTTATTTTGTGCTTTCTGGCATTTTAAGAGAAATATATTGTTATATAAAACAATAGGCTGTATGTCATGCAGTCTATAAAAGCCATCAGTACTTCCTATGTTTACCTCTTTTAAGGTCAGTGTAATCTATAGAAGCTAATACTGTATATTTAGAATACATTTGATTAATTTGTTTACAATTTGTTAGAAACATGGACACAGCAGTTCCTTACCATCCTGGCATGTTGCTAGGTCGTTCTGTAGATATGAAGACTATGCAGCCAGGGTACATGTTGATAGGAGAAGACATTACTCCTACAGAACTGAAGGTATGTACGTGAGAAACACATTGCATTGCTTCATATTTATTTGTTGTAATGTGATTGAAACCAGCACAAAAGCAAAGTGTGCAGAGCAAGCTATGGGGAACCATGAAGGACCTGCTACTGACATGCAAGTTCATAGAGGCAACCCACCTGATGGTCTGATCTCAGCATACGAAGCTGAACGCAAAGAAGAAGACAAAGAAAAAGAAACCAGCACAGTTTTAATGGTTGAAATGATGATGAATATTACCTTGGGTTTGCAAAATATAATGTTACTGAAATCATCATGAGTAGTGTTAACATTCTGTGGTCCTGTGATATCTAGTTTATATTTACACCATTTAAACTTCTTGCTGTAGTTGTGAATTTTCTGTAATTTACTTTCTGTGTAGCTTCACCTTTATTGAGATGAAAAGAAATAGAAAGCCAAGGGAATAGAATTTAGGACTCTGACTCAGGAGATGTATGTTAAGTTAGTGCATATGGAGCACAGGTTGGGAACCATTGCTGCAGTGTGAGTTAGTCAAAAGATTATTCTTCTGCACATTGAACCATTCAACCAAGATCGACTCCAGCTGATGGGCCATGCTGCTGACATCACCAAACCGGGCTAGTGACATGTTAACGCAGCGTTTGTCAAACCTTTTTTCCGTCTAGCAACAACAAACAATTTAACAGCACACCTACCCTTAAAGCAGTTTGAATACTTAAGAAATGAAGAAGAAAAAAACAGTGCTAATTTAATGTCAAGCAGATTTATAAAAAATTCCTAATTATTGCTGCGGCACCCCTGACATATGCTCGTGGCACCCCTGGGTGCAGCAGCACCCAGTTTGAGAATCGCTGCATTAACGTATTGTTAGCCCCGTTTAGTGACGTCAGCAGCATGGCCCGTCAGCTGGAGCTGGTCTTTGTTCAACCATGAATGTTCAGATCCCTTACTCTGTATAAGGCTCAGTGTGAAGCTACAAGCAGCAACATCTCTGTATTGGTTTAGTCTTCTTCTTTGATCCCCTGCATTCCCTGTGTGGGTTCCGGGGCCCCATCCTGGGAGGATATGAACTGACTTCCCAAAAGCAAGTCTGAGTGCCTCTGCCATACCGGCAACAGTCAGCTGCACACAGATAAGGCATTAAACTGGATGTACACGCAAAACTCAGGCCCTGGCACAAAGCCGAAGTCCAGTTGGACGAACAACCAGGACTTTCTGCAGAAGCTTACACCCGGTAAACAAAAAAGAAGAAGAAGAAGATCCCCTGCATAACAGTTTAGTCTAGTAATGTAAGGCAGATAATTTATCTTTTGTTATTTAATTAGAGATAATGCGATATCTATTTCACCTGTAGCAAATTTGTTAAGGTGAATGAATAAATTGGGAATAATTAGAAGTAGTAGTTTCTGAAATGGATATTGCAAATAACTTGGGACAGCCAGGGTAACTAACAAGTGACTATCAGGAGAAAGCTAAAGGAAGTAGACAATTTTACACAAATTCATGAAAGAGACAGTGAGTTTTATTGTTTATTGAGAAGAGGATTAAAGAACATTATGACGACTAGAAGAGGCACAGGTTTACTGAGATAAACGATGCTGTGTGGTTTAAAATAGTCTTCTTTGAACACTTTTGGCTCAGTAACCTAGAAAAAACAAAACAAAGCTAGTGGATTGTATTTTGGAAATTTTCCACAAGAAATCCTCAAAAATGAAAACCATTTACACAGGTCGCACACACACACACACACACACACACACACACACACACATCCTGACATTCCATTTGTGGACCAAAACAGTGTTAATTTAAATGCAGAGTAAGAGGAGTAATATCAGTAAACACAAATGCAGAAGAGAATTAACCTACCTAACTTTTATCATAAGCAAAGTGTACACAGTGACCCATACTTGAGCGCCTAACCCATTCGCCAGATAACCACTAATGGTAGTGGGAAATTATGAAATCATAATTTCTATTGAAACCCGTTTGTTGACAAGAAGCCTCCTCCCAAAGCTGTTGTTAGTAAATAGTATCAATTCTGGTCCACCTAAATCTTGTGGGGGGGGGGGGGGGGGGCATACGTTTGCCAGTGCTGTTAGCTATGCTTTTTGTGAACTAGCCACTTTAGCAATTAAAGCAACTATTGTGAGGGAGTGGATCCAGCTAAAACTGTTGATTTTACGGTTACACATATCTTTGAATCATTACTGTGGAGGTCCAGTTTTTCTGTTCATTTTTTTCTCCTGACAATAGAGAATATCCTTTAGAATGCACCCACCCACCAGGTTGTACATGTGGTATGCATGACCATATTAATGTTCTTGTTTCAGACATATTTTACAATACAGTTTTGTTTTATGTTAATTTATATGCTAAATTCTATGTGTGTTCAGGTCAGTCTGACAACATCTCAGTATTCCTTTGCCACAACACTGAAGGATGTCTGTGATATTCTCATCATCCCTCCGGAATATGCCTTGAAAGTGAAAGCAGGGATCAGAGACGTAAAAAATGGACTCGTAGAAGCATGCCTGAAGGATCTGGGAAAAGCAGATTTGTTCACAATTATTTTCAGGGTCTCATTTTTAGAGGTATGTTTACATCACCTTACTCTATAAATTTTGTTGTCATGAATAACTGATAATGGAATTTTATTGAAAAATTTATCTTTCCAATGAGTATCATTGGCAAGGCAACAGCAGCTTTAAAAACCTGAACAAAATATGAAACTCTGGGTTATTAGTTTAAAAACCATGTTGAATGTTTTCACTTCTAATGTTAATTCGATTAAACATATCTAATTAAAAGAATTGTACCCATGTGGGTTCTGGGGCACCATGTGGGGGGGGGGGGGGGGGGAGAATAGACCCACTGCCTCCCTAACCAGTATATTGGAAGAGCTGACTTTCCTTCAAAGTTTGAGAAGCAAAGAACCAGCAGTCCGCATAAAAATAAATCACATCTGTAAAATGGATGTGCAAGAAAAACTCAGGTTTTTTTTTAACTAGACTAAAGTCCAGAATTGGACAAACAGCCAGAATTTTCCACAGTTTACAGCCAGTGAACGCAAAGAAGAAGAAAGAATTTTGAATTGAAAGAAAATTGTATTGATAAGCAACGTTTGGGGTTATTTTCATATATTTGGTGTAATTGTTTCATGTATTTTTTGTGAATTGTTACGGTTTCTCCATTGTTTTTTCCGGGGCAACTGATTAGGGGTTTTCCCTTGAAAGTCAGAGTGCATCTACCTGAGAGGTCAGAAGCCAACAGTTTACAGTCAGGTAAACCAGATCTGTAAAACGAATGTGTAGACAAAGCTCAAGCTCTGGAACCAGATCAAAGTCCAGAAGCAGACAAACAACAAGGACTTTCCATCAATTTGCATGCAGCTGGTGAATGCTAAGAAGCAGAAGTTCCAAGAAGAAAAGGGTTCTTAAGATGTTTTATTAAATAACCATAGACTTGTAATTCACCATGTCATTAAAAACATATGTATTACTTTGTCAGCTAAATGTGATTTATGTTATTGGTGACATTATAACATACTCTCCTGAAATTTGAAGACTTAACTAAAAAGAAAGACTAAACTAGACTATACTAAAAGAAAGCAAGACAAAAAAACAGAAGTGCACATTTAAAGTTGGAGCCATAAAAATACATCATAAAGCTGACAAAATATCCATAGGTTTAAATCTACACATACAGTGTTTGAGACATTTAACAAATGTGTTTAACTTTTGTTAACATTTCTCAACTCTTTCATTCCCAAGTATCTATTCCTCTAGCTCTTTATATCAGTCATCTGAGCTTTAAAAGCATTAGATACTTGGCTCAGGTGAAGCTAAATAGAAACACTGTTGAAGAAGAAGTTAGGCTGATAATTCAGATGTAGTGTGTTAATATAAAATCTGCCTGTTATAGAAGACAACACAGACATCATATTATCTTTGGATTAATCAAGAAATAAATGATGAGTTCTTTAGCTCTTTCAATCCCACAGGGTCCTAGCTGATGTCAGAGGGACTAGAAGAATGGCAGTACTAAACTCCTGGGTATACTACTTCCAGAGGGACCATATATACAAGCCTTGCAGGAAACAAATATATTTTCAGAGTTCTTTAGAGTCACTAACTCAACATAAGATGTAAAAACATAAATAACATAATGATTGGTTCACCTAAATGATACATAACCACACATAGTGCATTGTTTGGGACAGAAAGAGTTAGTGTTGAAAGTGTTAAATCTGTCAGTGTATCCTGCTATCTTTTAAGTGACTACTTTTTTTTTTCAAACAGCAAAAACAGTACCTTTCACCAGATGTTGTACCTATGGGGTCTGATTTTCTTGATGAACAAGGCAAAAGTGGGGAAAGCTATCACACTACAGAAAGCCTCATTGCAGAAGCAGCTGCTGATTCTGAGTCAAGTGCACACGAGGGAGATATGCATTTGCCAGGCAGTCTGACTGGAAAGAGCCGAGGACATCATGGCACACACTGGGTCAAAGCCGTCGAGGTTGGAAATGAGCTGGTCACAGTCATGACAATCTCTTGTAAAGGTAACAGTTGAAAGGTTATACTGCAGGATATTTTTCTGTAAGAGCAGTATTATTTTTGAAACTTATGTGAGGGATGGCTGTATGGAACTTAAATATATATTTGGCAAGCATTAAAAATGAATGAGGACATCATGGCACACACTAAGTCAAAGCCATTGAGGTTGGAAATGAGCTGGTCACAGTCATGGTAGTCTCATGTAGAGGTAACAGTTGAACAGCTATACTAGAAATGTTTCTGTTAAAAACAATAAATAAATCAGTCTTGAAACTTGTGTAAGGGGTGGCTGTGGGGAACCTCAGTATATATCTGGCAAACATAAAAAATAAAGAAATTAGAAGAAGACTAGGACTGAAACCAGGCACAAAGTTCATCACATAGCAACATATGAGATGGTTTGGTCATTTGATCGTCATCTTTTCTTTTCGCATTCACCGGCTATAAACTGCAGTTAAAAGTTCTGGTTGTTCATCCACCTCTGGACTTTAGATTTGTTCCAGAACCTGAGTGTTGTATTCATATCTGTTTTACAGGTCTGACTTACGTGTATACAGACTGTTGGCTCCTCCCCTCTCAGGCAGATGCATTCTGACTTTGAAGGAAACCCCCAAGTACTTGATTCTTACGACATGCTTTGTTGGGAGGCAGTGGGTCTGTTCTTATTTTCCCTGCAATAGGCCCCCTGAATAAATTTTGTGACCACAGAACAAGAGAAAGACTATGCAAATTTAGAACAACATCGTCACAAGCAGCCTTTGAGAAATGAAGATCAGCTTGTGCAACACATTAGAAAGAGCACACACAGAGAAAATCCTCATATCTCCCTCTAGTACTTCGATGAGGTCATTGTAGGAAGAGAAGAAGAAACGTACTTTCTAAACATCTTTCTACATAAGTGGTCATGGCTTTGTCATGTATATTGCTTTTAGAATTTGCTATATTTTTGTTTTTTGTTTTGTTCAGAAATGTATCTTTAACCCCATAAGTTGGTAATTTGCAGGTGATTACTTCCATAATGGGCAGAAACAAATACATCTGGGATTGAACCAGGGCCCGTGTCTGGGAATTAACCAGGACCACATCTGAAGATTGAACCAAAAACACATCTGGGAATTGAACCAGGGCGACCTCTGGGGATTGAACCAGGACATCTGGGGATTGAACCAGGGGACTGAACCAGGGCTTATTGGGGGATTGAACGAGGGCATATCAAGGGATTGAATCAGGACCACATCTGGTGTTTGAACCAAGACCATATTTGGGGATTGAACCAGCACCACATCTGTTGATTGAACCAGGGCACATCAAGAGAGAGAACCAGGGCACATCGAGGGAGTGAACCAGGGCACATCAAGGAATTGAACCAGGGCACATCGAGGGAGTGAACCAGGGCACATTGAGGGAGTGAACCAGGACACATCTGGGGATTGAACCAGAAACACATCTAGGGATTGAACCAGAAACACATCTGGGGATTGAACCAGGACACATCAAGGGATTGAACCAGGACACATTAAGGGATTTAACTAGGAGACATCAAGGGATTGAACCAGGACCACATCAAGGAATTGAACTAGGACACATCAAGGGATTGAACCAGAAACACATCTGGGGACCATATTCAAATAAGTCAGATCTGTAGAACAGATGTGCTTAAAACTCAGGTTCTGGAACAAGACCAAGGTCCAGAAATAGATGAACAACTAGAACTTTCCATTGGAGTTTACAGTGTGCGAATGCTATTGATTGTATTACTGAACAGGTGAACATTTATTTCATTTTTTTTTTCCTCACCTAGATTCAGAAAAATTGAATAAGCTGAGATACAAGCTGTGTGAATGTTTGCAAGCCTACCGTGGACAGCTGGACAGGCCGAAGATGGAAGCTCTCAGTAAACTTGCAATTAAAATTGACAAGAAACTGTCCAAAAGGCATAATGCGGATGTTTGCCTAGATATTCAGTACGCTTCTTTCTCCGAGCTTGACAAGTACCCGGCCAGTATGTCAGGGATGGTGAAAACCCTGGACAGTTTCATGGACCAGTGTGTTGGCTGGACTGAGAGAAGCAAACATGGCCAGGAATGTGAGGTTGAAGCCTGTGTCATGAGGTGCCAACCTGGCATTGATAAGGAAGAAAAGACAACAGTGAAAGATTCTCTGAAACAGATGTTTTCAAGTAGGTTATCTTTGAAATTTTACTTTGTTTGCATGAAATAATTAATGACTTCAGTAGATTACTATTTAAACAAAACTGATTTATTGTTCTGTTTCTCCTCTTTATTATTGTTCCTTTTCTCCTCGTTATTAAAGTGCATGTGAATCATATAGTAAATGCTCACTTCTTCTTAGGATGTGCCCAAGCTATAGCTACATAACCATCTTCTCCGTCTTATAACTGTTGATTCTAGTGGTTGACAGGACATTTCTCTAAAGATACCTTTCTTGATTTTATTCCATTTAAGACAGAGAAGTATACTTTGTTCATAATTTGATCATGTGAACTACGGTAATGTTAAGAGTGTTTTCCTATGCATCACTGTTCTTTTGTTGAGAGGTATATTTTAATTAAAATTACCTAATAATATAACCTGATCTATTGTTAAAAGGCATTATTCAGCTTTATAAAATCTAGTGTCACACTGAATCAGAACGTCAGAACGACAAACTAATTTTAGAATATAGCGAACTAAATAAAATGACAAAGAAAAGTGCCAGAGCTGACAAGAGAAGATTTATGGAAAATCTAGCAGAAACAGCAGAAAATGCTGCTAAAGCACATGATCTACAAACCCTACACAAAACTACCCAGCAAATTTGCGGAAGCAGAAACAATTATCACAGCATACCCATCAGAGATAACCGAGGCAGACTGCTCACCACAGAACAAAAACAAGACATGCAGTGTACTAAACACTTCTCCGACCTCTTGAACAGACCTGATCCTGAAAATCCCCCAGATATTCAACCAGCCTCTCAGAACATTGACATTATTACTGAACCACCAAGCAAACAAGAAATCCTTAAAGCTATCCACACTTTAAAGAACAACAAAGCACCAGGCAAAGACGAACTGCCAGCAGAACTTCTCAAAGTAGATCCCAACACAACTGCTAGCATTCTAGAACCATTGTTCAAGGATATTTTGGAAAAAGAAGTGTTGCCTGATTACTGGACTGAAGGAACAATACTCAAAATCCCCCAAAAAGGAGACTTAACAGACTGCAATAATTGGAGGGGAATTACTCTACTCTCAGTGCCAAGCAAAATATTTTGTAAAATCATCATAATGCGGCTTATAAAAGGAGTAGATAAATGCTTACGAGTGGAACAAGCCGGATTCAGAAAGGGCAGAGGAACAACTGAGCACATCTTCGCCATACGTAACCTTTTAGAACAATGCAATGAATGGCAGAGAAGTATATATAATAATTTTGTGGACTTTGACAAAGCTTTTGACAGCGTCCATAAAGACGGTCTGTGGACAATTTTACGACATTATGGAATTCCAGAAAAAATAGTCAACATAATTGCTCTCTTCTATAAAGACTTTTCCTGCAGTATAAAAAATTACATCTTTCACAGTAAAGACGGGTGTAAGACAGGGATGTGTTATGTCATCTCTCCTCTTCAACCTTGTGATTAATTGTATACTAAAGAACACAGTAGACAGGACATTAAGAGGCATACGATGGACTCCATTCACCATGCTTGAGGACCTTGATTTTGCAGATAATATAGCACTCCTATTACATAAACATGAACATATACAAGAAAAAAGTAACAGACTACACAGCACAGCATAAATGGTGGGACTGAGAATAAATACAAAGAAAACTAAGATCATGACAAGCAGTCCAAACCAACAACTAGTGACCATAAATAACCAAACTCCTGAAAATGTAGAACATTACACATATATTGGCAGTGTGGTGTCCCTACCGGGAGGGACCGAAGTGGACATACAGTCACCTCTGAACAAAGCTAGAGCTGCTTTTGGAAGGATGAGGCAAATCTGGAAATCCAACAATTACTGCAGTGGTACGAAACTCCGACACTACAAGAGCATCATTTTGCAAGTTCTTCTTTATGGAGTGGAATGCTGGAGAATGACCAAAAAGGATGCACACAAACTGTCCACCTTCCACTATACATGTCTACGTAGAATTATCAAAATTTTCTGGCCAGATACAATCTCAAACACTAAACTACTTCAAGTCACAAACCAAGAAACTTAAGACAGTATGATTACCAAGAGACGATGGAAATGGCTTGGCCACGTTATGAGAATGAATTCTGATATACCTGCCAAAACAGCTCTCACATGGACACCAGAGGGAAAGAGAAAACAGGGGCGTCCAAAAACAACATGGAGACGAACGATGGAAAGTGACCTGAGTGCCACATCTTTGACATGGAAAATTGCACTGGACAGGAAAGTATGGAAAGTCTTCTCTGAAGCCTCATGTGCCACTAGGCATAACGAGAACTGATGACTGATGATACAACCTAGAGCATGCTCCATGAGAACGGCTGGCTACCGGTCAAGAGGCTGACCAAGAAAGAAATTGATGGAGGGAATAAATGAGACACTACAGAAATGCATATGACATTAACACAAGCTAAGCAGCCAGCAAAAGACAGGAAACTACATTTAACTCCTCTGTGTGATGCTTTACAGAAAAGCAGTAGAATAAAAGAAGATGCAGTTAAAAGATAGATCCCTTTTTCTATCTCAGTTTAACCAATCTGAAATTTTGCAATTTTTTTCTTGCCAGATTTCTACACCACTCCCGGTGGCGGACAAACAGTTGCCTATCACCCCTCAAGGGAAACAACCGAGGAAGCTCCAAGTTCAAATATTGATGGCGACAGTGAAAGCTTTGTTGTTCTTGATCCCTCAGGCACACGGTTTTTCTATAATCTGCGAGTTACACTTCAGTCTTTCAAAGAAGGTATGCCTCCCATTGTTAACTGTCTCTGTATCAAACAGCTCATCATACATTGATAAGTGACTATAATTAGACATTTTCATGAAGCACCAACTTTGTGCTATCATTGTTGGACAAACATAAATAGAAAAACATAAATGCAAAATTACAACATGTGAGATAAGTTGTATAAGAAATGCCATGGAAAAACAAAAGGATACAGGATCACCAATGAAGAACTAAGAACAATGGTAGGCACAGTACCGATAAACTGTTTAACAGAACATCAAAGAATCTAATGGTTTGATCATAATGGAACAAAATCAGCCAGCAGCTAGAACGTACAGAGAACATGACAAGAGGCTGACCAAGAAAGATATGGGTGGAGGGAGAAAAAGAGACATTACAGAAAGGCAATGTGACATCTACACAACTAGCAAAAGATGGTAAACTGCATCTAAACCCCTCTGCGACATACAAGAAAGGACAAAAAAGACAGTATGATTAGACATTTTCAGTTTCCGAATTCATTTTTTTTTTCCTGCCTTTCCTTTGTCTGAAATATTCTGTTTAGGCTGTTACTTACTTTGTGCCCTTTAACTCCTGGTATAGCCGTCCATGACATATCTCCATGAAATCTGCTAAACCAGCATTGCTGCAGTGGCCTGTCCTCAACAAGCCACACATCACCTGTTCTGCTTGCATAGTGTTTAATGGGGGTCAGAAATAATTATATTTACTAGCAGCAGCACTGGGAGGAAAAGGAGAGAGCTTTATTATAGAAAATGCCTTTTTAGCCATGATGACAACATAATTCTTCCTTAGCCGTCAGTATCACATGGTGATGAGGTCTCAGTATGATTCACCATTTAATTTTCTGCTTCATTCATGCATTTTGATTACTCCCCTTTATATATTTTTTTAAACAACCCCCACCCTCTCAACCACACCCCACCCATAAATTTACAGGTTATAGGTCTTTTTCTCCCAAAGGATTTCTGGGTGTGACACCTCCACACAGTGTCTTGATCCTTATGTGTGTGGTGCTGACAGCTTTTATGGCTCTATGTTTTCCAGAATCTGGTTCTTTTTAGCGACTTCTGCATTGGTTCATATGAAGAACAGTGGGCTCCTGTCAGGATATCTAGCATGGAAATACATGCAAAGATTCATTTACCTGTAAGTTGGTGGTTCTCAAACAAGAAATAAACTATTTTTAAAAGTGGTGAGGGGAGACAACCTAAGTTTTAACTTTAAAGCATCTACATGCCTTCTTTAATAATTTCACAATTTTTTAGCGGATTTCTTGATTATTGCCACGGCACCGCTGGCATACGCTCTCGGCACATTGGGGTGCCTCGACACCCAGTTTGAAAACCGCTGCGCTAACGCATCGTTAGCCTGACCCGTCAGCTGGAGCCGACAGTGGTTGAGTCAACTTAGGGGAAAACAGGCAAACTTTCAGTCAGGTTTCAACTGGTACAGTTAGCAAATTGACTCTTCGTTGGCTGCAGAAGAAGGAGATGGAGTACAAGGGGGAATGAGCCCAGTGCAGGGATGTCAGTTCTTGATTCATTCATTTATATTCTTTGCTTAGTGGTAGACTTATAGTTGACATTTGAATTTGATTTGTCTTTCAGTAGGAATTGTACATGATGGAAATGTGAAACCATTTGCATTTGATAAACATCAGTTACCTATGGTTTTGAGGGTGGGCTGATGTGTGCAGATACTTTTCTACTTTGTGATTTCTAGAGAGATCGGTATTTACAAAGAGTGAGAGAGACTCTTTTTCTTCTGAATCTCACAGCTAGGTCTAAAATAAGTTTTAACAACTGTATTAATCAGATTGAACTGAATAGCTCATTGGCTAGTATACTAGCTTACTGATAAAGTTGTCTGGATTAAATTCCCTCCTTCCCCCTCCCCCAGAAATGGAAGATACTTTTTCCCCTTATAATTGCAGTGGTTGATTATATTAGATACTAAAGATTGCTAGATTTATACTTAAGCAGCCAACTGCTGTTGAAATCATCTTTCTTTTGCTTTTTGGATACCTAGCAACATATCCTTGATATGCCATGCTGGCATACACCTTGAAACGGCTTGCTGTATTAATTTTGTTTTACTGTTTCAGATAGTGATGTAGCTGACAGTTTTAGCAGTCTTGCTCTGAGCCAGTACCCAGAAACTACCTACACCATGTTTGAGAATTTATTCAGGTTGCTGGTAAACTGCAGTGAGGCAGTACGCCTTATACAGGTCAGTCAGTCTTGTGTTTTATGTGGCCAGAATTTGTTGATACTGTCTGTTGTGCGGTTAACCTGCTGCTGGGGGGAAAAACACATCAGGAACAGCAGAGAGGAGAAGAAAGAATGATTAAGAAGATGAACTGACTTCTGTTTTATAAACAAGAAACAGCTATGCAGTGTATTAAAGCGAAGAAAAGACCATGTAATGTCTTGAAAAGACTGTGGTTTGTGAAGAAGAAGAACAGATTATGGTTTCTTGACAACAGATTATGCAGTTTATTAAGGAGAATTAAACATTGTGGTTTATTTAGGAGGGAAGAAAGACTGTGTAGTTTATTAAACAGTAGGAAAGGCTGGTTTATGAAGGAGATAAAAAAGACTGGTTTATTAAGGAGAAGGAAAGACTATATTTTAGGAGAAGGAAAGACTATATGGTTGGATTTGTGTGCCCAGGAACGAAGATAAAGATGACATTACACACAGTGGATTTCTGTAATGGCTCAATCCACTGCCTTCACACAGAATCATGTCTGGGTCTTCTGGATCATGCTTATGCAATTGCTAAGTACATATGCAAAGGTATAGTCTTGTGTTCTTAGCCATACGAATGCTTGCGTTACCTCCATCGTCATTCTGCTTGTTGTTATGGAGAAGACACAGCTGGTTCATTAATTGTTCTGCCCACTGAGCGTGCTATGAATGGCCATGCACTTCTTTGTTGTCATATAATAGATTGTGGGAGTTTACGGGAATAAATGAAATATAGGCCATAATCTTTCGTATTCTGTTACAGGAGTTTTTGTCAAGCAAGAGATACCTCTTGGAGACTCATTTTGACGAGGGCAACAAAGTCCTCAAGTCAATTCAGAATGTCCACCTTCTTGTACTAGAGACAGTTGCAGATCTGGACTTTGTGTGTATTCCAAAAGAGAACACCCTAGAGATTGTCATCACTACAAACCCACTGACTACCGTCACTGATTTCATTGAGGTCAGTCAGTGGTTTCTGTGATGTGTGATTTGCTATTGTTCCCGTCTACTAAACAATTTGTGATTGACTTTTCTGTGTGTCTGTCAATAGAATGTGTGATTTGCTGTTGTTACTGTCTACTAAACAATATATGATTGACTGTTCTGTGTGTCTATCCGTCAGCATATGATGTGCGATTTGCTGTTGTTCCTATGTTTAAAACAATATGTGATTCAATATTCTGTGCTGTCTGCCAGTCAGCATATGGAATGTGATTTGCTATTGTTCCTGTCTGCTTAACAATATGTGATTGACTGTTTTTCATGCTGGCCAGTCAGCATATGATGTGTGATTTGCTGTTATTCCTGTCTGCCTAAATATAAATGATTGATTGTTCTTTGCGTTTGCCAGTCAGCATTTGATATGTGATTTGTTGGACCATTAGCACAGTCGATAGGAGACTCACTTTCAGATCCAGCTGCGAACTTGCTGTGGCCTATGGCCGGTGTTCGAAACCATGCGGTTCCCGGGGTTCACCCAGCCTCTAGGTAATGGGTACCAGAAATAACACTCTGGGTTAAATGCAGGAACGTCACTGTAGCTACAGAGTTGAGTGCGGATGGCGACACAGGCGAACATTTTTTTTCCAGCTGTTCGTACTGGTGGCAGAGCACTTATGGTTTATAACCATGTGCAATGGCACTGGCTCACATCTCAAGACTTTACTTTTTCAAACAGTATGTGGTTGACTGTTTTGTGTGTTCTGTCAATCAGCATTTGATTTGTGATTTGCTATTTTTCCTGTCTGCTAAACAGTATGTGATTGACCATTCTTTATGCTTGCCTACCAGCCTGTGATGAATGGTTTGCAACTGTTCCTGTCTGCTAAAGAATATATGATTGACTGTTCTGTGTGTCAGCATATGATGTGTGATTTGCTTTTGTTTTCATCTACTATTCAGTATGTGATTGGTAGTTCCATGTGTCTGCCATACAGTATGTGATTGACTGTTCTAAGTGTCTCCCAAACAGTATGGGATTGACTGTTCTATATGTCTGCTAAACAGTATGTGATTGACTGTTCTATATGTCTGTCAGTCAGCATATGTTTGATTTGCTATTCTTCCTGTCTGCTAAACAATATGTGATTGACTGTTCTTTGTTTCTACCAGTCATTGAGTAACTGATCACAGCCCTAATCTCTAGGCCTAACTTAGAGTTTTCAGCTAAAAATCTTAAGGACCACTTGTATGCTGGGTCGACTTGTAAGTTTATGGTATATCAGTTTTAACTTACTCCTCTGACTCCTTCATTGCCAGGGCAGAGACTTATTGCAAGGCCCTTATACATTTAAAAAATCCTTCAAAAAAATGTTAAGTTAGGCACAGTCTGTAAACACATCCACTTCCACCCCACTCCAAACAAAATGCACATAAATTTATCTATGTTCTATTTTCAGAATGTCACATCCAAGTTACCACCTGGCAGTGATATTGACCTACTTATGATTGGTAAAACAGGACATGGGAAAAGCTCTACTGGGAACTCAATCTTGGGACAGAACAAATTTGTTTCATCTGCACATGAAGAATCTGTAACCAGTCACAGTGGGGTGGGCTGGGCTGAAATTGATGGTCGCATCATCAAAGTTGTAGACACTCCTGGCGTGTGTGACACTAATAATGATGGCGATGCGTCTTCTATTGATCTTGCCATAAAGTCTATCAGTGAAGCAATAGCCAATTGTCCTGAGGGATTTCACGCTTTGCTCCTTATAATTCGCTTTGGCACCCGCATGACAGCTGAGGAAAAGAAAGCAATTGGTCTCCTAAAATGTGTCCTAGGAGAAGATATTGTCAGATCTCATTGTATTTGTGTCATTACTCATGGCGATCACTTTGAAACAGAAATGGCAGGAAGCAAAACCACTTTTGAGGAATGGTGTAAAACTCGAAGCGGCTTTTTAAAAGATCTATTTGAGGAATGTGGTTATAGATGTGTCCTCTTCAACAATAAAGCCACAGACCCCAAGGTGAAGAAGGCTCAGCTGATCAAACTTGTGTCAAAGGTGGATAGTTTAAAAGACAGTGGCACCCGCTATACTAATTCCCTCTTTGAGTTTGCACAGAGAGAACGCACAAGAATTATCTCTGAAGAAATGGTGCCCCAGGTGAATGAAGAAATGATGAGGGATATTCAGCTCATTCTTGAGTATCTGAATGGAATGGTTAACAACACTAGTGAAGCTGCAAGGTACAAGGATGAGTTGTCCAGACTGAAGGAGAGGGTTGATAATGTGAACAGCAAAGTCACAGAAACAGATAACGGGCAGCTGGGCTGTCTTGTGGACACAATCTTTGCACTTGCTGCAACGATACATGCAAAAATTGATGAGATTGCAGATCGTCACAAACCAGACAGCCCAGATGAGTTGGCGGGTGCCACACCAACAGAGGCAACATCAGAGGTGGGGGACTTGCTGTTTCAAAACCAAGAATTTGCGACATACAGGGATGAAATTCAGAAGTACTATACCGAGGAGATGTCGCCCAAGCAGAGCATGGTTACAGACAGGGTGACTGAACAAGTGAAGTCTGAGGTTGAAAGAGAGAAGCAGTGTTTCCCTGGGAGTTCAGTTGTCATATTGTCAAATGGGAAATCTGTCACTCTGGAAGAGCTGTGTGTTGGGGATCAAGTCCTGGTCAGAGATAAAACTGGTTGTCTGAGTTTTGACACTGTCTACATGTTTGGACATCAGGATTTGGATGCCTCCAGTGAGTTTCTGGCTCTGAAGACAGCCTCACAGACAGTGTATGTCACAAGTGGACATTATGTCTACTGTGTCAAAGATGGCACAGAGATTTGTGTGTCTGCTGAGAATGTCTATGTTGGAGATCATCTGCTAGTGGTTACAGGAGATGGTTTGGTGCCTCAGTCAGTGCAGGCTGTCACGTTTGAGAGAAAGCGAGGTCTGTTTGCTCCCTTCACCAACAGTGGAAATGTTGTCATTGATGGAGCACTGATGTCATGTTACATTGATGTTTTGCCAGCTACAATGTGCCATACTTTGTTGTGGCCGGTCCGACAGTTGTATCGTGTTTCCCCAAGTATGCTGTCATATATAAATGGACCCTCCTCACAGCACCCGGTCCCTGCTGGGCTAAAGCTGCAGTAAGACTGGTGTGAGAAAGTCATGTCAGAAATGCATTAATTTTTGTTTTTCCTTTAAATGAATTTATTAAATTAAGTGACCATATTATTAACGGAGGTGTGAGGGAGAAAGAAAGAGAAGATCTTAGATCCAATGGTAAATTTACAAGAAGAAGAAGAAGCGTTTATTGGTATATCTGAAGCAAAATTTGTTAACGGAAAATGGTAATGGTAATACAACAATTTATATAGAAAATAAATGTTACCATGGATAGTAATAATTATCTGTAATATGTTTATCTCTTTTAGTCCAAAGCAACTCACCTTGTGTTTGTTGGTTTCTACTTATATACTTTAACTCCGGATGGCCCAGCCAGTTGTTACACCAACTAAATCTGCACCTACAGTTACTTTAACCCTAGCCTTTATGTTTTAATTACTTCAGGTAGAAAAATGTATTAAATGAATTGAAAATTTCTTTTGACTTCTTAGTCTCTTCTTGTCCACTTTGGGGTGCAGAGGTTTGCCAGAGATATTGCCAGACTGCTATATCAGCAGTTTTCTTTCTCGCATTGTTCCATTCCAGTCCTCTATTTCTTCTGACATAAGGAAAATATCATTTGTCTGGGACTGAAAGAGTAAAGTATAATCTGGCAAAGTTTGTTTTGTTCTTCTAATATATTGCAGTGAAACCATTTTTAATTAAAGACTGGTTAATTTTGTAAATCAATGTAAGAATAAAAAAGTTATGCTAAAAATATTTGTGAAACCCTAATGCACAAGATTTATGCTTAAAAAGCAGTTATATAAAGCAAGGTCTGAAAAGCAGGAATATCATTTGGATGTTTAGATGAGGAAGTGCCTGTGGCTTAGGCATTGCAAATGCACTTTGTAAATTCAGCGGTGCTGTGTTTGATCCCAGCTGCCTAGTTAAATCACAAACAGCCCAAAAATCTTGGAGTTTGTTCTGGAACCCCCTGTAAAGGTTACACAACTAACGTTTTATGTATATTTTTGTTGTTGAAAGGATGAAGCAGAACCGTAAAGACTAACTGACGAAATAAAATAAGTTAGCCGGTATTTGGCTTTCATTAAGTGTTAGGGGACAGAAAAGAATTGTCTCATGAATCAGTGGGAAATTTGAGATCAAACTGACCTGACTAAAATGGCTGCTAGGAAAGTCAAGATGGCCGATGTGATGCTAACCACATCTCTCGTCAAAACCCGATTGACCTGTAAAAGTATAGGTCTAGCACCATATACCTGATCTGCCAGGAGAGTTCCAACAGTCTTTTCCTTTTGTGAAATTTTTTTTACCCCCTCTGAAATGGGAACCCCGTGGTGTAGCGACTAGACCTGCGGTCACTTGCGGATCGGATGGTTGTGGGTTCTCAGCATCTGGCATAAGGATTATACATGCAGTCTCATAATTCTGAAATTCAGGGCTTGGTAGCACACCACTGTCCATTGACCAGGGATATGAATGTCAACAGTTCAGACAGTTATGACAAACTACTGAATGTAACATTGCCTAGTAAAACCACAAACAGCGAACAAATGCGGGTTTGAATTCTTAGCTTTCAATTAAAGATATGCAACTGTTTTTAGGGATATTGTACAATTTAAATATTGAGAAAATAAATGTTGGCTCATAGAGTGCTAATCAAGAAACAGTAGGAATAGTGTTTTCGTATATATTGTTTGACTTGGTATTTTTTTGTGTGGGTTGGCTTGGTTTATCTTACTTTTATAACTATAATTACAAATATTTAAAACTATAACAACGTAATATCATTTTCTATAACTTTTCACCAAACTAGTTAATCCTTATATGTATATGTTTTCAAAAAGTAGACAGAATATAATATCCTAGACATTAGAGCTGTGTATGTTATTATTGGTAAAGATTTTGGTCCACAATCTGTCCTTGAGTTGCATGTTTAGGTTCTAGGGTCACATTGTTTGGGGGGAGGGGGTAAACCCACTGCTCCCCAACAAGCAAGTCATACAAGGCGACTAATTGTGGATGTTCCCTTTGAAGCGGAGTGCATCTGCGTGAAAGGCGAAGAACCAGTAGTCTGCATACAAATAATCTAGATCTGTAAACGAATATGCATGAAGAACTGAAGTTCTGGAACAATACCAAAGTCAAGAAGTGGATGAACAACCTTAACTTTCAGCTGGCAAACACGAAGAATACGTTTTTTGAGTTTTTCATTAGTGTAAGAGAATCCAAGTTTGCAGTTCACAAGCTGTTTAGTTCCTACTGTTTAGAGAAATGGCAGCCATGTGGGATGTAAAACAGCACAAGAGGGCAATGATGCTGGCAGTATCTTTAGCAACATGTTGCTAGATTCTATTTTCATCGGCCATATTTGAGAGGATTGCAGTGGACATGCAGGAAAATAAGCAAACACTTTTCTGGCTCATGATATTTTAAAAAGCCGAAACAGTCACAGAACAACCGAATTGAATAATTAGTTTAGATTTCGTCACTACTTCACTACTGAGCATTAGAAAGGGTGGGATGTATAGGGAATATAGATAAATGTAGAAGAACGACAGGTGCACAAGAGCAGCAACAACTAAACAGAACAGTATTGATAGTCAAAGAACTGGTGTCATTGCAAGAAGGCGCTAAGCAGGCCAGGTTCCCACACATTGATTAAAGTGAGTTGAGAACTGATAACTTGGGACTTTCCCATAAGTGATCTGTCCTCAGCCTCAGGAGCCAACAAAGAGTTCAAATTCCTGAAACCAGTAGCAGTTTGATTATAGGTCCATCTTGTATTTCCTTTGTATAGTATTGGCCGCATCCCTTGGCCACTTCTAGCCGCAACATTCTCTTCAGACCATAATGGTCTGTTA